GCCGCCGGGCGCGCATAGATGGCAGAGAGTGAGTGGAAAACTGAACGGACAACAGTTTGTGACACTTTTACCCAACGGTTGGGAAACGTATTCTCCCCGATGGGGATGGGCTTATAATGCTGGGCCATTTTAGACTGTCCCCAAACAATTAATAAATTTATTTATTAACAAACAATCAAAATTAATCACTAATTGTTGTCAAATAACACAAAACTTGTAAATAATTGGCTGAAATATTGTCCATAAATAACGTAGCATGCAAAATTTTTATACTTTACAGCTTTTTACATAACATCACATACATTATTTTCAGCCTAATTAAATTTACAATTGTTAGATATTAGAAATAAATATTAAAATATTGTGTTTAAAAATAGTTTCTAAAATTATATCAATAATATTATTTAATTTAAATAACATGTTATTTTAAATTTTTAAATGTTTTAACAAAATTACCGTAACAAATTATTTTTAATTTTTATTTATATATTGTTTAATTTCTAAATATAAATTATATGTTTTTATTATATAAAGTATTATCACATCTCAATAGTTTTAGTGAATAAGTATCTCAATTTTAGTTCATTATTCTGACTTAACACGGGTAGTTATTATTAGAAAGCCAACTTAATGAAACTTTTTGATCATATAAAAATACATTAATTTACTAATCAATTGCATGACAACACAAATAATTCCACAATAAAAATCAAAACAAAAATCATTATAAAAAATATTAATAAAACTTATAGTACATTCAAACGCAAAAACAAGTAAAACAACAAAGAATGAAAGTCTAAAATTAATTATTAAAAATATATTCACCATGTTGAGATTACGAGTAAAATACGTGCAAAAAACGGAACACTTCATAAAAACCATAACAAATAATATTAGCGATGAGAGCATAGCTATTGCACATATTGAACACATGATGGACAAACGATACGTATTTATTTCACCTAGCTTTCATCACTACCACACCGGTCAACCATTCATTACCAAACGTATAATACGCATAACAACCACCACGCTCATCTCATTATTAGTGGCCATACGCTACACCATACTAGCCGTACACAACACACCGACCACCCGGTACTTACTGACCGATGCCAACCACCTGATAGGGCACAGGCGACTATTTGCCGGCGCTATCGCTTTCTCGGCCACTCTATTACTCGCCATACAATTATGCATATATTACATGGAGAGTGACCATCGGTTCCACGCCATGTCCCTGCTATACGACCTAAAACGCAAAACCACCTCTATCACTCTAACTGGAAAATATCGGAAAACATTTGCCTTGATATGTCACATAGTGGACCGGGTTATATTGAAATTATTTTGGGTAATGGCGGTATTTTTAGCGCCAGCACTGGTGGGCACAACCATTATAGCATATATTCAAACGCCCGCAGAATATTCTGTATACAGTGTTATACTGTGGGACACATTGACTATGATATGGATAGTATGGGAGTCAATGTTCTCGGGTGTCGGAGCGTCCGTATGGTTACTGTCTCTCACATACATTAGGTTTGCTTTTAAACAAATCAACGACCAGTTCGTGGACTGTCTTAGCCATGAAAACTACCGCCTACTGTCGTTATATATTTCTAAACACAATAGGGTTGCCAAACGTTGTGTTGACTTTAACATACTGTTTAAATACACTATTTTTATCATGTATTACACCATACCATGCTTGCTATATGTTTACCTATATGAGATACTGGATCGGTCAAATAGTACAAGTGTCAGGGTAGTTTTGTTTGTTTATTTTATAATAATAATTATTATATTATACGCCATGAATTGTGTGTGCGTTTTGGTTACCAATAGCGCCCATAAATGTAAAAATGTTTTTTATAAAAGTCTATCACTTAATAAGTATTCATTTCGGCAACAATTAGAAGTACAGGCGTTTGTCGAGCGCCTGACCGCCGGCCCCGACATTGGTTTCTATTGCTATGATTTGTTTCCTATGAATAACTATGAATTCATGACATATATTATCAATTGTTTTATATATTATTTTCTATTTAATTCCGCTATTAAAATATCAAGATCAGGAACGCTATAAGACATGATTTAAGTAGACGTAGGTTTTGTGCTATCATTGAGTTTGATATCTGAATAGTATTACTCACTATAATATTGTACATAAATGCTAACATAATTTTGGCATTATTTTGGCATTTTCTGTCGTTACTGATCTAGATTTATATAGACTTGTTGTGTTTTTGTAATATATAAATTAAAATGTTAATAAACAAGCTATATTTTAAGTTCAAACATGATAATTCTAGTCAGTATAATGTATTAATAGGAATTTAAAAGTCACACTTTATAAACTGTAACTTAATTATGCTTTTACTATATGTCGCCACTTATAAGTTACTGATATGTAATTTAATGGGAATATAATTGATATCAAAAATTCATATTTTACCATATTTTTTCGGGAATAATATTTAATTAGTGTTGATATTGTACTTTAAATAAAATTATAACAATATTCTATAAATGAATTAAAGGCTACTAAAATGAAGTTAGCAATTTATACATGCTAACTGATGATTACTGAAATATTACTATTGACTTTAATAATTTATTAACAATAAGTATTGTTCTAATTGTTAATAAGTTAAATTAATATTAAATTAAAATAATTGAATGAAAATGACCATTGAATAAATAAATAAATGTATAAATATCTAATTGCATGTTTATAGCCTCCAATTAATATAATTCTAATCCAATATTATTTAACTCCGTTAACATTAAATAATCTACAAAAAAATTCTGTTTTAAAAATATATTTTGTGATACCAAGAAAATATATTGATAACAAAACATGATCAAAATTATGATCCGGAATGTAGTGCCGGATCGCTACAAGTATTATATGTATTATTGCCTAAAACAGTACGCAATTTATAATTTAAAGGGTAATGTGTGTACTATTGTATAAACAAATGACAACCACTTATATAATCACAATCAACGCCAGACCTCCTGAGGGGTTCGTAAGTCCACAATCTGTGCGATAAACCGATAATATCAGTGTTTCCACTGACACATCAAGGTTTAATTACTATATAATTTTAAAGTGCTAATTATTTGTATATTGAGTCAATAAATTAAAAATATTTTAAAAATCATATGCCCTGCCATACGATCCGGTATCAACTGTATGACATTTTACTGATTAGGGTAAAGTTATGTGTATTTGACATTATCTACTGGGTACTTTATGTGTCTGTTTGTCTGATGCTGCGATCCGGCACTCCGTTCCGGATAAATCAGTTTTGATCATGTTATGATATATGTAATTTTGTTTTATCGTGATGCCTCAAACACAGTACGATTTTATTGAGTTATTTAAAAATAAAATATTAACTCATATAGATAAATACTAGCTAATATAGCATTATCATATTAAAATATATATATTATTAAATTCTATCATTACAATATTCATTACATTTCGATTTATTTTAAAATTATCAAAAAAATGTCTAAATATTTAAATCGCTCAATATATCGCTTAATAAATAGTCATATTATTTACTTTTCTGTAAGTAGAACTTGAAACAAGGTAAATTTAATAACAAACATTTTTATGTAACATAAAAACATAATATCAACACATAGCAAACTGTAATGCGGTCATACAAACCCTACAATACGTACATTATATTTACTTAAATTAAATAATAATGGTTATCTTAACTATTGTAAATAGTTTATATTAATAAAGAATTATATAAACAATAATATTTTTACACAAAATCAATAACCTACTGTCTTGGTGTTTTAATGTATTTTGTTTAGATTTATAAACTTTTAATAAAGATGTAGAATATATTTATTTATTAAGTTAGTTTTAATTTACAATATAGTTTCTATATAATTTTAGACCATTGATTACACTAAATACACCCGTCATCTGATAATTATTATGAATTTGTGAACTTATGTTTAACACAAATAAATTGTAAATAAAATTTTGTATATTATTTACAATAAATTTTAATGCATAACAATGAATATAAAGTTTATAATTTTAATTTATATTTTATAATCCTAAAACTAAATTGATCATGTTAATCATGTTATGTTAAAAACTTTTAAATTATTGTAAATATCAATATTGCTAATCTGAATATAATTTACCTAGAGCAAATAAATAGTTTTGTAGTTAATAAAATTATATTTTGTTTTGCTTACAAATTAATAACCGATTTGCCAGAAATAAATATTATTAAAACTTGTCATTAAATTTTTTATTTATAACGTATTTTGTGAATATATTGACAATAATTTATCTACAGAAACAATTAATTAAATTTTTAATAGAAAGATATTATAATATTACAAGCCTATAAATAATAGGTAAAAATAAATTATAATAATAATAAATAGAGTAAAAAATAAGTAAAAGTAAAAGTAAAAAGCAAGTAAAAAATAAAGTAATTCCTACTTTAAATAGATAGATATATTTGGATACTTATATATGGACATTGATTTGACTACAATAATAATTTGTAGTCTCCCCAAACTCTCCCCGATCATTACAAAATGCAACAATTACACTGATTAATAAATTAAATGCGCAATTGATAACATGGACTCATATGCTGTGTACACTATATATTGTGGTATATCTGTAAAAACCTTTATCATATTTATTTAGATGCCACTCAAAATACTAATCATATGGTTATGTCATAACTTAGATTATAAATCTATGTTTTATTTATAAAATTTTTAGAGAGAGAGAAAGAGAGAGAGAGAAATAAAGAGAGAAAGAGAAAAATCTTGTTACACAAATTCATTGTAATGATATTAAAATTTTATTATTTTATAACAAATAATGTATTAAAATTTTAACAAATTAAAATAATATGATATTGTAACTAATAATTTGATGAAATTTTTTGGGCTTAAATACATAAATAATAATAGTTAAATCTATAATAACAGTAATGGTATATAATGAATATGAATAGGTCTAAAATCTAATACAGCCATAATGAGCATGATAAATGATTTAAACAAAAGAGTGCTGTTATAAAGCTCTGGGTTCTAAGCCAAGTATAACCCGCTCAGGCGTATGATTAAGAACACTAGACTTTAACAGCACCGGGATATCGGTCTTATCGGTAATAACAAACCGATACCGTTGGACCACATGTGCCAGGGCCAATTTCACGACCATCAGGGCAAACCGGGTGCCCACACAACTTCTATGGCCGGTGCCAAAGGGCAAAAACGTATAGGGAATGAGCTTGTGACTATTCTCGGGCATAAATCGCTCTGGCTCAAACGCCGGTGCATTCGGGTAAAACTCTTCGCTATGGTGTACGGCATAGACGGGTATCTCAACGGTCTGTCCCTTTTCCACGACAATACCGGTGTCGCCGAGTTTGTAGTCCTGGGAGGCCATACGACCCAATCGGATCGATATGGTGTGCAGTCTAAGTGTCTCGGAAACCACGGCATCCAGGTAATTCATTTTGCCCAATTGATCATATTCAATCTCGCCATTGGCATCGAGAGAGGCCCGCACCTCGTCGTGCAGGCGCTCCTGAATCTCGGGCTTACGCGACAGTTCATAGGAGGCGAAGGACAGAGTTGTGGCCATCGACTCGTAGCCGGTGGTGAAAAAGTCCCACGCGTTCGCCAGTATCTCCTCGTTTGTGATGTAGGGGTCGGGCGCTGTCGCTGTCTTACCGTAAGCTGACTTTCCTGTCAATTATAAATAGCATTGTTTTATGAGAATATAGTTTTTATAAAAAAGTTTTGAACTTTTTATTTATAGCTCTCTCTCTCTCTCTCTCTCTCTCTCTCCTATTCATATAGTTTGTAAAATACATACCGGTATTAACATTGCCATTAACATCTTTGGCCTCATCATCGCCCGAGCTGTTAGCGCTGCCATATCCGCCATCTTTACCCTCATTATACTCGGAATTCATGGCCAACTCAAGGAAATCATTGTACTTCATGTCCTGTCGCTTTCGCTCTCGCATTATAGTGCGGGTCATCTCAAAGAAGAACTCGTTGGCCGACTCCGGGATCACGTGCTTCAACCGCATGGCCTTCAACAGCCCCGTGGGTAACATCATCTGCATCAACAACCTGATCGGGTTCGGGTTGAACACCATGTTGGCGTTGTGAATGAACGGCGAGTTGCCGTTGCGATACGAATTGACCTTGGTGCCGAACGCACAGGTGGCTATAACGTCCATGGTCAGATTGCCGTAGATGGTCTTGAGTTCAGCGGGTGTGCCATTCTTACCATAGGGTTCCATTGACTCAAACAACTCGTTCAAACAGTCGCGCACTTTTGCGTACATGGATTTCATACGGCTCGACGAGAAGGTGGGCGATATGACAGACCGCGCCCGACGCCACTCCTGGCCATTGCTGGCCACTAGGGTTTTGCCTAGTATTGGGTGAGCGCCCGCTTTCAGTATAGGGTCTGTCACTTTGAACGAGAATATGTGCGAGTCTTTCACCATAATCTGTTTGATGAGCTCAGGCTCGGCCACTGTCAGTATGGGTGTGTTTGCCTCGTAAACGCTATTAGTATAATAATAATACAAATTTGGTTTAATAATGGCATAAAATTGTGTGTTTAGTTTGCTTATGTGTAATTGATTGATTATGGTTGCCTTACCCGTATATTTTACCATATTTTTGGACCCAACTCTTTTCAAGCTCGGTCGGTTCGTTGATAAAAGCGCTCAGTGTGTTGCCAAAGCCTAGTAGAGGTCTGGGACCGGGTATACCCCGCTTAGACCAGTAATTAAAGTTTCTCGTCAAGTATCTACCGAGAGCAAAAACATTGAACAAAATAAAATTAGTTTATAATTCTTGGTAAAAAATATAGACAATTTAATAACAATTTAATACATACTTATAGACAAAAAACAGCCCAAAGGCTACAGCGGATAGTGACCACAATAATAGCTCCATTATATTGTTATATAACTAGCTTATTATTTTACTAATGTAAAATTAGCAATAACTAATATTAACTTATTATATTGAATAATATAGTTTGATTTATAATTAATTGTAAAAATCTTGCAAGCTTTTATACCCATAAAATGCAAATCAAGATGATGATTATGCCCCTGTTGTCAAGGTCGTTCATTATGCGTAAAAATGTGATCGTTTGATTTTTGGCAATTATTCAAGGCATTGGTATAATACAGTATATTATAAACAACAGAATGCCCCTTCTCAATAATTACTTCCCCCATTCTCTATCCCTATCTCTCTTTTTTATTAATGATTCATTTGATATTTTATGTACACTATATGCTTATCAAGTATGTTATCGTATTATTTGTAGAATAAGCTATTATGCTGTTTATTATGTAACTAGAGATGTGCCCTCAAGTATTTAGTTAATAAATTTTTTATTGATTTAATTAATCATAGTATAGATCGTGTGATCACATCCTAGTCTTTGTTTACCAATAGATCTCTCTCACCAGTCGTCAGCTGACAATTGATGGCATAAAGTGTTGTTTTTTGCGCAAAATATTGTAAACAAATTTGTGATTAAAAACAATGTTAATCTCTGTCTTACGCTATAATCTGATCGGTTGTGTCGGTGTTGTTGGTCTCGAGGGTAACCCTCACTCAACCCTATATGTGACCCAATTGTGTGGTGAAATACATGGCTTACAGACCGACCAAAACTGGTTTTTATTATCACTCCCAGAGATCTATTGGTAAACAAAGACTAGGATGTGATCACACGATCTATACTATGATTAATTAAATCAATAAAAAATTTATTAACTAAGCTTGCTAACACTGGGTAACGGGTATAATTATCTGGATCGGGAATGCGGACAAATATAACAATGGTCATGTAATACCTGATGATGATAATTTAAATTTTGTTACTAGGTAGTTTCTGTCCTGTATTACCTTGAACAATGTACAATAGAAAGTGTGATAATTGCACTCGTTTAGGTGTTAAGCATACCTAGGTGATAATTAGTTTGTTGGACAAGGTTTTAAGTGGTATTAATACTTGAGGGCACATCTCTAGTTACATAATAAACAGCATAATAGCTTATTCTACAAATAATACGATAACATACTTGATAAGCATATAGTGTACATAAAATATCAAATGAATCAATTAAATTAATTAGTGTATACCCCGTTAGTGTCAAGCTAGCAACAAGTCTAACGTAAGTTAATATGAATATAGTTTTAAAAAATTCTGTACACATTCCGGAATCGAGAACGTGTTCATTATAGACAACATAAGTATTCATTATATATAAGCATATCCATAGGGTATTACATATGGTATTCAAAATAATCTATATAAAAAAGTTTAATTTAATTTTTTATACATGATAAAGGGTGAGCACGCATTAGATTCCGGAACGTGTCTCCGAGTAAACATGTTTATATCTATGTTTTTATCGGGTGTATTTTATATAAAATTTTTTATATACATCAATTAACTACAGAATTTGTGCACTAAAATCAGCCTATAATTGACGGGCAATTAATCATCATCGTAAATTACTTATAAAGACTTTGCCGCATATTGATTGATAACGGGATGAAATAAGTGGTGATAATATTATGCAGTATTAAATGTACATGAGAACTTTTTTGGCAATATTGTTTTGAAACACACTGGGTATTTTGAACCTTAAATATCTGTATCTAAGCGAGTATTACCCGCCTTTAGACATTAAACTCGATGCATTTTTTCTTTGTATTATTTTGTGGTGTGATATTAAGCCAATGATGTGAGAATATATAAGTACATTAATCGTTTTGTATAATGAGTTTGCCCATAATCATTTTTTTTGCTGTCAGATTTCTTGCGAAAAATACTGCACTTTTATTACACTTTTTATAACACTTGAAATTTGTTATATAATCTCTGCGTTTATCATAAGCGGTATTTTCTGGAAATTATTAAGTAATAACTTATGTTTCATTTTTATTATTATGTAATTACAACATTTATGTAAACCTAGCTAGTTGTTAAATAGTTAATTAAATTCTATAAGGATTTAGTAAACTATAAAGAACTACTTATTTCAATATAATACTTTGCCATAACTTACTATATTGTTATAATTTAATGAGCTATCTACCTAAAATATAATGCCTATTTTTGATTAAAATTTTAAGGTTAATAATTGATAATTATAACTGTACTTTTAATCAAAAACAATATAACTCAACAATAAAATTTACAAAACTATCGTGTGCAACATTAAATAACAATATTACAACAACAAACTTATTTACAACTTATTAAAAGTCTAAGATTTTAAATATTGATCAATTTATCAATAAAGGGCCCGATAATTAGTCCAATGACATAATATGTATAGTGAACCCAAATTATAGTACATTATACAGTTTACAGTAGTATACAGTGCGCTCGTGTTGTAAACAATTGTAAACATGGATAATTAGTTTCTGGAAAATAACATTACCAGATTATTCTAGCTCATAATAAACAGTAAACAAGTTGTGCAAATAATAATAAAAAATATATATAAATTTATGCTTAACTTAATATTTTATGCTTTGTATGCAAAATTTTATTTATGTCTACAATAATTATCATCATATAACTTGAAATTAGACACAAACATAGTTAACACAACAAGTATTTCAATATAAACAATGATATAATTTTATTTGACTGCATAATTAAGTAAAGTATACAACTACACAAGTATACATAATAAAATAAATATTAATTAAATGAGATGATTTTTGACAACTAGGTATATATTTAAAACTTATAACATAGCACTAGAAGCATTAAGATCGTTTTTCTAAGGCCACAATAACTCGCTCGGGCGAGTGGGTTAGGCCAGATTGTTTCAGGCGTATGGGCACATCGGTGTTGGCCGTTGGGATAAATCTATACCTGAGCACAACATGTGCCAGGGCTAATTTGACCAACATTAACGCGAACCGCATACCAATACAGGAGCGGTGGCCGGCGCCGAACGGCAGGTACGTATAGGGCACAAGTTTATCCTGGTTCTCTGGCAACCACCTAGTTGGCACAAACTGCTCGGCATCGGGGTAAAAGTCCTCCGAGTGATGTACGGCATATATGGGTATCTCAACTGTTTGTCCCTTTTCAAGCGTAATGCCGGTATCGCCCAGTTTGTAGTCCTGGTCGGCCATACGGCCCACACGCAGGGTATTGGCGTCCAGTCGCAGGGTTTCGGTGACCACTGCCTCCAAAAATGGCAATTTTGATAGAGATTCGTAGTCTATGGCACCGTTTCGCTCAGTCCATGACCTGAGCTCGTCGTATAGGGTTTGCTGCACTGCGGGGTTGAGTGACAGATGGTATGTGGCAAACGATAGGGTAGTGGCCGTCGTCTCGTAGCCGGTGGTGAAGTAATCCCAAGAGTTGGCCAGTATTTCCGCTTCGGTTATGTAGTTTTCAGATGAATTTTGTTTATCTGAATTGTAAATAAAATTTAAAATATTTCTTAATTACTGTTATTACTATTGAAATAAATAATTTTTAATTTACTACAACTACTACTAGATTGAACTACTCTCTCTCTCTCTCTCTCTCTCTCTCTCTC